TTTCTAAAAAAGCTTCTTAGAAGCTTTATAGATGCTGGATTGATTATATATATATATATATATATATATATATTTGTAATTAATTAGTAGGTTAAAAACTTAATCAATAAATTAAACTTGTATTAGTAGCTTATAGAATAAGTTAATTATATGGTGCACATATAAAAAAAATTGCCTTGCAAGTTAAGATATGTGTCTTATAAAGTCAATACGTTTTAAAGGTCTTGTAGGATATTGTTATATAGCTTCTAGTTAAGAGTATATATAGAGGCAAGAGTGAAGCCTTCTTAACTCTAATCAATGCCTTAATAATTCTTAATCTTATTTTAATATTTTTTAGTCTTCTTATCTTTGATAATAGCCATTCTTATTTAATAATATATCATCTTTGAATGATTTTTTAGTCTTTTTGAGTGACATAAGAATGTATTGACATTTTAGTTTTTTGAGGTTCATGTCTTTGATACAAAGATTCAAGAAAATTCTTCATCAACAAGAAAAAAAAAAGAATTTAAGAAAAAAAAAGTAGCTAAAAAAAAGATAGATATGAAGAGTTTATTAAAAAAATAAATAAATAAATAAAATACAAATACAAATACAAATAGAAAGAAAAAAAAAAAAAAAAAAAAAAAAATGAAGACCAACATATTTAAGATATAATCTAAGGTGAATATTTTCTTAACAAATTCTTCAGTTTTAACTTATTTTTGGCTAACACAGATTGTAGTTTGAAGAAAAAGAGTACAAGAAGGAGGATCGAAGTAATAGATTTCAAATACATAAGTCCCTAAACTATTTTCAATTATTTCCTTCTTGAAATTTTAGCAAATTGCTTAGTTGCAACAAATAGGAGCTAAGAATTGGAAGATATAATGTAGAAAGAAGATGCAAAGAGATGTAATCTCCAAATTTTTTTATAGATCTTTTTGGAGGTAAATAGAGCCTTAAAAATCTTTTTCTTTTAAATACAAATCATTTTCTTTAAATATTTAATTTGGAATTGATTAAGAAAAAGTCATACATGACGATTCTTTAATACATGATAGATTAGTTGGAGATGCAATCAAGTCATTCTTTAATATGGTGTAACTTTTTTGCAAAGAAATTTTTTATATAATAAATAAATATATAATTGGTATAAAAACCATCTATCTCAAAATTTTAAAAATTGAGACATGCTTATGAGAGCATTCTTAGAAAAATTTAGAACAGAAGTGAGATAAAATAATGCCTTAATAGCCTATTCTTCTTTGAAACAAGGAAAAGGGAAAGAAATTGAAAATAAATTTGATGAATCTGAAATTATAGTAACTTAATTCATGGAAATTCTTCTCATGAATGACATCCACATTCACTTCTTTATCCAAGGATTCAATAGTAAAAGAACAATTAGGAAAATTTTCAAAGAAAGACGAAAAATTTAGGAGATGCTAAGAGGATAGATTGGATCATTAAAAATATTGATAAGTAAGAAGAAAGAATATAGAAGAAAGAAGAACATAGGATCCTAAGTTTTATTTCTATCCATGTCTAAAATATAAGTAATTTCCACATGCATTCATATAGCTTTTATTTTCAAATAAAAATAATATCTTTTAACATTCTCTTCACTTCTTAGAATTACTAGAATCTCCAAAGATTAGTAGAATTGTAATTTCTTGAAGTCCATGATCCTTCAAAAAAATTAAGTTAAATTTGGTGGTACAACTTCCACAAGTTCTTTGATAAAATCATAATACCATTTGATGACTAACTTCATGCATTTAAATAGTCAATTAGCTTTATGTCATAATTCTTTAAAATTACATAAATATTATATTTTACCAAGGATTTGGGCAAGCAAGGAAGTGATCTTAGGATAAAAATATATTTTGAATACAATGGTGGTATTAATTTTATTAAAAACATATTTATTAGATAGTTATAAGGGCTTCCAATCCTAAAATCGGATTTAGATTTAAGGAGCCTTATGAACCATAGATCTTGATTAGATTCATGAAATCTTAATGGTGGAAATTTAGCCGACATTTTTTTGGCCTCAAATACTTATATAAAAGAATTAGGCAGTCAAGCCTTTTCTCTTCTTCTTCCTTTTGTTAATGGACATAGCCATGCCAATTTTTCTCTAAGTTTTGTAAGTAGCTTCGTTGTTCTAATTTTTTTCTCTTTTAATTTTTAAAATTAGTTTTTGAATTTTTTTTGGTAGAAATAATAATTTTTGTTGCACTTCTCTAAACATAAATTTTTTAGAATTTAGAGTTTGTATAAAGAAGAAACCTCTAATTTAATAAATGATGGTATTTTGCCTTTACAATTTGGTAGTTCCATTTTGGAAGGCTCTGCTTAATTGCTCACAAGTTGTAAAGCAATAAGGATTTTTTTCTAAAGATGTGATGAAGTTTAATTTTAAAAAAACTAAAAATCAATCATATTGAAGCTGAGGCATTATAAGAATATTGATTCATATGGTAGAGAATCTGCTACCTCTAAGTTCAAGCAACCAAGTAAAGGCACAACTTTAGAGGATAAAATCAAGAGAATTGAGGCAATCCAAGGGCTCAAATTTTGAAAAGAGGTGTTCTTTGGAGATAGAAATCCAACAAGCTTAGATTTACTATAAGTCAATTAACAACCAAGCCATGGCACTCAATTTTGTAGAAGGAAGTTTATTGCCTTGCCAAATTAAAGCATCAACTTTGAGTCTAATTAGAATCACACAACCAAATTAGAAGGTGAAATTTAGAAGTTGGATGTGCCTTTAAGTCTTTTTTCTAACAAGTCTAGTTGGATTCAATTTGAAGCTTGCAATCAGGTATGGTATATTAAACTGTGAAGGTAGGTGCAGCAATAGGTTTAGAAGTTCCAACCACCTTTTGTTCTTAGACAAATTATAAATCCATTAGTTAGGTATTATGGATAAATCATATGGATGGAAATTAACAATAAAATTGAATTCCATTGAATGAAACATTATATGGATGAAGCCAAGTTAAATTGGATGAATTTAGTAACTACAAATTTGTCTTAAGTGGATGAATTCTCATTCATAGATGAAAATTCATTCTTGGATGATAATTCATTTGCAAATGAGAAATTGTTCTTGTATGAAGTTTTAAATTTGGATGATAATTAATACTAGAAAAATAAAAATAAAAATCATATAAAAATTCTCTTCAAGTGCATGATCTTTTGAATTGTTTAAGTGGTTGTATTGTGATATTGTGAATATGAGAGTATGCCATTTGATCAATTAAAAGCCTAATGATATTTAAGTAAGAAATAAGAAGGTTTTATCTAACTCACAATTGAAGAGTTATAAGAAGTAATGGATATAAATCAAATGCTAATAGGATTTTTTTTATTAGAAACCTTATACAATTAAAATTGTTGTGAACTAGATTAGACAACCAACTACTAGGAGTTTATTTTAATTTACACTAGGAATAGATGAAATACTAAAAACACCAAGAACATAAAGATGGGGAATACAAGAACCACTAAGAACACTAAGAACACTAAGAACATTGAAAACATTGATTTTATATAATACTCTTAATTGATTTTTTTCAAAATAGATATTAAATAGTGCTAACAACGTCAATCAATCAAGGAGTTTTGTAGACAAATAAATAGATATTATTTTTTTACATAAGCAAATATATCTTTCATAAACTACAAAGTAATATTTGTATAAAAATAACATTTTTTTATAATAAGTGAGAAAGATTTCAAAAAACCTAAGATATATCATAAAATTAATAAAAATATAAATAAAATATAATTATTTATTTATTTACTTATTTATTATTTTATTTTTTAAATAATTATTGAATCAAATTTATAACTAAGTATATATGCTATCCAAACTCATTAAAATGACTATTAATAATATTAGCTATAACAATTTGATATTTGCATATTTACTTGTAAATAATTTTTTTTTAAAATTTAGAAGTTAGATCTTTTTAGAATCTCAAATAAAATTAGCTTGAGAATTTTTGTTAATAAAATTAATAGTAATTTTTATAATATTGGTCTATCTTATATTTTTTTTCAATTGTTAAACATGAAATAATAGTTGATTTATTTCATAAAATTTCTAATTGTAAGAAACAAAAATGCAAAAGAAAACCACCTATAATTTAGTATGTTCCTAATTACAAGTTTATAGACTTGAAAGAAAAGTTAATTTAATAATTAAATTCCTTTAATTTGCAATGCATTGTAAAGCTTAACTTCACTACATGCAACCTAAATAAGAATCTTCAATGAAGCAAAAAGTATTATACTATGCAAACCATAATGTGTAATTGTCAAAAGTAATTGGATAAAAGTACACACTTAAGAAAAAAAAACTGTTATCCCTCTATATTGCACTTATCAATGTTTGAATAGCAATTTGCAAATCAAGATAGATTTGAAGCAACAACAACCAAATAAAACAAAAAAGGTTTATTATTTTTTAGGTTTAAAAAGGGTGTTAGTATATATAATAAATCAAATTATATAACACAATTTTATTTTTTATTATTCATTAGCATAGATGATCAAGAAATTTTTACTTTTTTAATTCTAAAAATATACAAAGATATTGTATGCTTCTAAAGTTTAGTATACTTAAGGAATCATGTAACATTATGGTTTACTTTTTTAGTAAACTTTCGGAATTCACTGTTTGTGACTAATATCACCAAATAAATTTTTTTATCATTAATGTATGAAAAAAATTGCACATTTTCTTGCATTATTGTAAGATTTTAGAAATAAAAAAATTCACTACCAGAAGTATCGATGGAGTAGAAATATCTTCACTGCCAGTTTGAGCTGCCACAATGTTGTATTCAAGAAACACAAAACACCAAATTTCCAAAATAATAATAAAAAGTTTTACAAAATCTTTGATTGAAGAAAACCCTAATTGGATGGACACCCTGTATGTGAAAAACATCTTTCAGGAAAAAAAAAACACTACAAAATGTAGTAATTCAAGAATGAAAATCAAATTTTAAACAATTTCATGCTTGAACTTTATTGAATGGAGTGGATCATGACTCAACATTTTTTGTGAACTTAACCCTCAGCTTCAGAAATAAATAGACCGTTCATATAATGAAAATTTGATAAATCAATCAAACAAGTTGAGGCAAAAAAATTTCTTACAAGTATTAATTGAAATTCAACTAAATGAAATCACTAGCACGTGTTTATGATGAGCCTTCTGTGTCTTTATGATGTTACAAACATAAATTACGTGGTTGAAACATCATGTCAGACTTCGCGAGGATCACATTTCTCTAAGCTCACCCCACTTGGATCCTCCTGTGCAGACAAACTTAGAACCCCTCGCCTGCTCCATTCCAACTCAAGTTTATCTCTCACGGTGCTTCCAATTGTTATAGCAAAGACGGCATCGAAACCACCCGCACCGGGAACTCCAGCCAATAGTACTCCGTCCATCTCCATGGTTGCATCTAGCAGAGCTGTTTGAGACGGGGGTTCGATCTGCAGGTTTACAATTGCCAAAAATTACATAACTTTCCGTAGCCTAATCATTTTCTAAATCTTGAACGAATAAATAGTACATCAAAAGAGCTTCCCAGCTTTATTGCCAGAGCATCCTAGGTAGACCTCAATGCAAGCTCAAATCAGGAACTTTACAAACATGAAGGCTCGCATTGCCTATTTAAAAGTAATATCAACACTCACAGTAAAATAGAAAACAGGAAAACATTAAAATAACAAGCATAGAGTCCCAGATGCATCCACTATAATGCAAACAGATTGAGGGAGGCAAAATAAACTCACAGGAACACCCGCTGCTTCTCCCACGTGCCTCAAAAGAGACCGCACCTGAAGGAATGCCTGCCTTGTCTCCAAGAGAGACATCACCACTTCAAGACTTCCTGGTGTGTCACCATGTAATATTTTCCACTGCAAACGGTCTACATAAGATTAGAGAATACTTGAAAGGACAACCTCACATGTTGATCAATTTATACAAGTTGAACTAAACTAAACGATAACAAATGAAGCTTTTCTCAATAACCTTACCATTCCCAAACGTCCTTCAAGATCGCTACTAACCATGTTCTCTACAACGCGCTGACTCGAAACACCCCAGCAACTAGAGCACCTATAGCTAAAGAACACGACTGAAGCTTTGCCAATGAGAAAATGGGAATATATGGGTCAAAAAACCAAGACATTAAAATGTATAGCCGAACAATCACTTGCAACGTTGTACCTTGTCAGCAGAACTGGTGCTACAAGATTCTAAGATATTCTCGTAAAATTTTCCAGACCCAGCTACAGTTTTGAGGTGAAGGAGACCCTTTTCTACACTTAGGTTCGCTTCGGCCAGAGCGTTCCATATAGGAGTAGCTTTCTCAGGGTCCCGCTTACGCCAGGCTTGTACTGCTCCTACCATAGAAGGAGTATGAGAGCCTCCAAATCCAGGTTCTCCAACAACCTATAAGAGTAGACACCATGGAAAAGTTCAACCACCAGAGAAACCAAATTAAAAATCTGAGAGTTGAACGAAGAGGATTTTGTTTGAAATTTGAATACAAAATTTAACAGGATATTCTGTACATAAGTACATCTCTAAAATGAAAAAAAATACAAGGAATCCGAGAGTGAGGTCAAGTACACTCAATGAAAGTAGCTAAGACTTTCGGTTCCATAAAACTGCAATAAAATCTAAAAGTGAAAACTTACCAGCATAAGACCAGGAGGAAGTGCATAAGCCAATCTCTCACCATCCCAGCTTTCAGCTAAAACTTGCTTCATAATTTCCAAAGGCGTAATCAACCTGCCGCTAGCCTGCAAATAGAATGAGTGATTTTGAAGTCATTCAAAATCTTAAAATAGGAAATTATGAAAAATATGGATAAGGAATATGATAACTCGTAAATAGTGGCAGTGCAGTTACCTGAACTGATGACAGGACAGAAGGCGAGAATCTGACATAACGTTGGCTACCGTAAACAGCACAGCTCACATCGAATCCACTGCCTATCTTTCCCTGGGCAGCACAGTGAGCTGCTTGAGCAACAGAATGTACAAGTTCAAGGTCTGTCTCCACATCTTCCTTGGCAGCCCCGTGCAATGGTAGATCAACCCGACCAAAATATTGGAGCAGACTGGCGACTACTGCAGTGGTCATTGCTGCTGACGAACCCAGTCCGGTCTTCGCAACTTCGGGTAGAGCGATTTCGTCTTCTCCTGGCTGGGTGTTGGTTGAGATGGATGAGAACGCAGAAAGTGCAGCAAGACTTGAGCGTGTCAATGGGAGTCCTCGCGCTTCAAGCTACCAACCACAAAACGAAACATAAAGCAAAAAGGACGGAGGGAGAGAGATTAGGCATAGATACTTGCTCAAATAAGATAGATTCTATATATAAACAATCATGAATAGAAATGCCCCAATTCAACACATCAAGACCACAGATAATGAATGAGACTTCAAAATATGAGAAACAATAGCAAATATTCGGTGCAATACCAAAGCGAAAGAGATCATTATGCATCTCACCATAATCAGACGCAATGAATCAAGTGGAACTGTGATATACCTGCCTGCGGAAGGAATAGAAATCATTGCTACCCAAAATTGTAATTTCCAGTCCTGCAAAATGGACCCAACATTGTAAGAAATGAAATAGAAGGGAAGTCCAAATTTGACCACAAAATCATCATCCAGACCAAGAATCATCTGCATTATACCTATACAGCTAAGACACGAAACTACAAAGTGCAATAAGGATAGTTCTAAAGTAGAAAAAAGAGTTTCATGCTGAAGCAGGAGTACAGGGATATTGTCTCAGTACCTTGCAGCAATTGATCCCTAAAATGTTCACGCTCTTCACTGGAAGCTCCAGTAAACCCAGCCTTGGCAGCTGCTACAGAAAGCTGCACTGCTTGTTCCACGAAAGAACTGCTACCTTCACTGCACAATCTCATAAACGAAAGGTTTCTTCACTTTTCTTTCACTACCTAGAAAATATTTTACACCATTCAGGACAATATACGCGAAGACTGCCCTAGAGTTTTAGTGCTCTACATATAGCTTTTGAGCTTTGTTCTGTTTACATCTATACTTTTTTTCTGAAACCCTTACCTCTAGCAAGACCTTTGCCCTGAAAAAGGAAGTTAATAAAATCAAAGGTAATATGTTGCACGGAGTTGCACAAAATTCTCTGAATCTCATAATGACATCAATCACACTGCTGTACGGTTTTTCATGAGCCAGCTTGCGTGAAGGTGTTCTAATGGAACTCAAAGCATGTAAAGAGAGCACCTTGAAACCCGCCGAAGACTAAGATCACGATGAGAGAATTTGTAATCAGTCTCCGTTCCAAGTTGCGGTGAAATAACCTTCACATCAGACCAAGACTGAATAACATCCAACAAAATTAACATGAGAAAATTCCCGGCAACGGACGAGTGCTAGGGCATGGTAAACAATCTAGGGGTTCCAATTATTAGACGAAGTCAGTTAGATGCATGTTGCCAGGTCGACGGCAGGTTTGCGGGTCTGTTGGACACTTTAATTTGTACTAAGTAGGTTCGATCGACTAAAACGCTGAACCCTCAACCCTGACAGTAAAGTGCTTCTTCTACAAGTTGGATTGAGTAAGATGTAAGTCCAGGTCGACCAAGTTGGATTATACAAAGTACTTCTACAAGATGCACACTTTATGAGCTCCTCTACCTCAGAGATTCACCAACCATCTAAAACAGAGCTATTGTTTACAAGTCTTTGAAGAAGGGAAATGCTGCAAGTCACTTCTTGCCCTCTACGCGTACGAAGAATTATCATGGACATTGATGACAAATAGTACAACCCTGGAGTTTACAATGGCAGATGGTCGTCACAAGAAAGCTTAATGGTGTAAACCACATCAAAAACTGCAAAACGAGCTGCACCACTTCATACACATTGTTCCGGATGTCTTTTACATTAAAATCGGCATTCCCTAACTCACCATCAAACACAGTAGTCATAATTTCATCGGCGAGGGCAATGCAGATTTCGCGATTGATGCAAACGCTAATTCTTTCGATAACAACAAAACCAAATAAACGACGAAATTTCAAATGGCAACAACTAACTGACCCGATCGGAAAATACTGCTCCCATTATATCACAGAAGTCATCTCCCAATGAAAGTTGGAAAATTATAAACACGAGAACTCACCCATGACCAGCTGTCGGGAGCCAAGTTTTCATGTATGGGCTTCACGACTGCATAAAATCGAGCCGACGTCGAGACCACCAATCCAGCGTGCGGCTGCTCCAGGACCAAATATGCTCCCGTAATCAACACCTTCCCCGGTGCCGAAACCACTCTGAACCCAACCCAACCAATCAAAAAACCTTTCATCCACCATCTCCTTCGATCGCAGAAAGGCAAAATCGCAAAGTAGAAATCCACGGCAATCAATTGAAGCCACCTAAAACGTAGGCCCATAAGAAGATGGAAAACTGCAGAGAACACGGTGCGGGAGGATTACACAGCGGAATCCATCGCAACAGGCGCAGGGATGAAGGGAGGGAGGGAGAAATGGGCAGAGAGATTGGGGGTGGAGAGAGAAGAGGAGATGAGAGGAGGGATGTGTTTGTGTGTGTGTGTCTGTCTGTCTGTCTGGCTTCAATGTATGATGGATGTCCCAGGAATCTGATACATTGGCATCGCAGAAGAATCAGCCCCCTCCCACCCCCGCTCTCTCGCTTTCTCTCGCATTTGAGAGTGTGGAATGATACACTCTCTCCTCTCTTCGCTACGCTTGTCTCCTCTCTCTCTCGCCTCCGCAGCGCGCCACCCCCCTCCCTCCTGCTCCTCCTGTTCCTCCTCCTCCTCTGTACCCTAGGTAGGTGTGTATGTCTCTACTTCTGTCCTATACGATCATATATACGTGTAGATTTCTTTATTTATTTGTGAGTATTCTCCAATATTCATAGCAAGTTCACATGGATAGTGCCCTCACTCGTTAGGATTTTCCCATTGAGCTGTTATGTTATTTCTTTCTCGAAGGGCCTGAAATGGGACTTCACTTTTTAGATTTGGACTAGGTTTGGAAAGCTTCCGTGTCAAATGCCAAAGGATAAAGGCATGGATGAGGAAACACCTCAAAATCTTCTCTCCTCTTGGAAATGCAAGGATATTGATTGCCTTTTAATCCCTTAATAACTAAAATAAAGCATTTTCAGATTTATATAGCCTCTGACTATGATTTTTCATATTATTTTTCCTTCAAAAAGAATAAAACAAATATCAGCATCACTAAGCTCCATCCATGATTTGAGTATTACTATCTGTAATTGGTCTGGTAAGGATTAAAAATTACAAATTAAAAATTCTCATTTAAACATAACTATTAAATGACATAAAATATATATTTTTTAATTTAGTGCTTTAAATTTTAGTATTATGATTATTTTAGACTTACTATTTTCCACTTTCATCTTATTTAACATTATGTTAATCTCTATCTTAGTTTATTCTTTTCTTTAATTTCTTCTATTGTTTTATTATTATATTATGAATGACGTGTTTAAAATTTCTATTCATGTTTTCAAATAAACCTCTTGTAATTTATATCCTCCACTAATGATTTTATTAATAATTAGTTTGATATTAATATATATATATATATAGTCTCCCTATTCTTCAATTAACATTATTTTGTAACTAGTTAATTATTAATGCAAAAAACATCAACTTTTATATATTTCTTAAAAAATTATTATATATCTATCATATTCAAAAAATAAAAGAAAAATAAACTAATAAAAACATTACAATAATACATACAATAGATATGCATCAATATTTTGGTAACAAAAATTGCCAATGTTATAGATTACTCCATTATATTATTAAATAAAGAATATATTTTATTAAAATAACTAATAACTTAATATATTTATAAAAAAATTACAAGCAAAGAAAATCAAAAGAATTAAGTTAAGATAATAAGTAATTAAAAATAATTTTTATTCAGAAAAATAAAAATAAAAATTTAATAATAATGATAAATATAAAAATAATATTTAAATTTTATACTATATTTAATATTTAAAAATAGAACCAAAAATTAATCAAAATAAAATAATTTTAAAGCATGTTATTTTTATATGAAAAATTAAAACTGAATACAACAAACAATTATTTTAAAAAAATATAATGAAAGCATTAAACTTAATTGATCCTCAGAGTATCTTACCTTATTGACACTTCTAAAAAAATAACGAAAGTATTAAACTTAATTGACTTTTAGAGTATCTTACTCAGTTGACACCTCCAAGACTTCCATCTTCACTTAATCTCTAATCTCAACCATGTTAGCATCTTGTTTAGCTACTTAAGATCGATCTAGTCTCTATCACACCAATCAACTCAACAAGGTGGATTATAGCTCCAAAATTTAGCTACTTTAATAATCAACTCAATTTTAGAACCATAACTAACTACAGTCTTGACACATACAAGTCCACAGACTGTAAAGAAAAAAAAATGAAGAAATTAATACAAACAATAATCTCAATGATTAAAATTGGATAATTTGCTGATCCAACTTTAATAAGAAATGGAGCTTGTATAAATATAGATTATCAATACACAAGAAGTTATAACTTTTCTTGAATTCAAAAACTAATACCTAATTAGTTATTGAAACAAAAAGGCAATCCAACAAAATAGAATTCAAATTAAGGAATATTTTGTCTACTATCAAGCAAGAAGTTTCAATATTATAGATAGTTAGATTGAAACTGAACAATTTTGCTAGTAGAAAAATTATACATCAATAAAAATTGCAACATATATGATTATTTATGTATTTTCAAAATAGGATCAAATAATTTAATACTTCAACTATTTAGAAGTTTAAGAATAGAAGAAATCCTTTTGAAAAAATCAGGCTAGAATGAATTCTATATTAAAATATTTACTAATCTTAACAACATTAAAAAAACATCTGCTGCCTACTACGAACAAAAAATCGTTTTAGACTCAACCACATACAAGCAATCTTTTGTATTTAAACAAGGATGATATTTTTTTTTTAAAGAAGTTTCAAAAAAACAAGAGTTTTTTTGGCCTCCTTGAGTGGAGCTTATATGATTAGCTTCTTTTCTAAATCAGATGTCTAACATATTTTCTAAAATCTTATTCATCCTAGAGTTCTAAAATCTAAATTTAAATCTAAAATCTAAATCTAAATTTAATTTTTTTCATTCCCATCCAATCTTAATCTTATCTTTGTTTTGATTTAGTTAAATATTATATTTCTTGTTGGTTTTTCATTAGACCAATTTTATATACTATCTATCTAATACATTACCATAGTAGTTTCTTATCAATAGTTAATATATTATATTCGTATTTGATCCAAACATGATTGATTATATATTTAAAAATTTTAATTACTTAACTTGTTTCCGTGTTAATAATAAGTATATATTTTATCTTTCTTCTTTCAAACATATATAAAGTCAGTTTAGAAACATCAAAGATTGAAAGAAGAGCTAAGTATATTTTTATTAATAAAAAAAAAACAAAAACAAACACAAACACAATTTGTACCACATCTACTCATATATACACACTATATACCTACACCATTAAGTGATTAAACCTCAATATTTATCCTAAGGCTAATTTAATCTATAAATTGTAACTTGGCTCTTTTTTTATATTAAATGAAATCCTATCAATACTTAGGCAATTAAATCATTTAGAAATGACGACTCTTAATTCAATCATACACTACTTGAGACTCACCTCCAACTATCGAGAGTGAGATTCTTTGAAAGCTTTATCATTTGTAGAAACATGTTTTTTCTAATTAATTTAAATAAATAAAAAATAGAACCAAAAGCAAGAAGATAGTTGAATAAAGAGAAGTACATATAGATAGAAATAGGAAAGTTAGGCCTTACTAGTTAGACATGTCTTGCAAAAGTTGGACACATGTCAAATAACCTATAAAATGTTGCCATGTAGCTCCCTAATTAGATAATATATGTAGAGGGTAGAGTAAGGTATTCTTTATTCTTGTCAATGTCTTTCTTATGATCATGTCTTAGTTCAAGAATCTTTAATTTCATTGTAATTAGTAATAATGATTCTAATTATATTTTACATCTATCTTTAACTTGTATATTTTCTTATTTGAATGTCACTATAGTATATTATTTCTTTAGATTTTTTTTATAAATCATATCTTAAATACAACCTCACAATCAATTATAATAAAAGATTTCAAAGATTCATGATATTTTAAGAAAATATCACAATTAAATTTTTAAAAAGATGAGATTGATACAAAGGTGAATACAAAAGCTAAAGATAGAATAAAAAGAAGATTGAAGTAAAAGTCTCTACTTCAAACACCAACAATATTGACACTATTTTAGGAATTTTTTCTATCTAAGAAACTAGCTTACCTAGATTTTAAAGATGAGAAATCTCATCCTTGTCAAAACTATCATTCATGACTTAGAAAGCAAGAAAAGTATTGGAACCACATATTGAATGATATTTGAAGTAAATCATAGTAATATAATGGGTAATATAATGGATAGACTATCAAAATAGTTAAGAGTCATTTTAGACATAATACATTCTTTTAAAAAAATTGACAATTAATAGGTGGAGTAGATTTCAAGTAATGTAGTTTAAAATGAGTTAGAATAATATATAATAATATAATTTTATCTTTTATTAAAAAAATAAACAAAATAGCAATGGATAGATTAGAATTAATATTAGAATAAATATTGAGATGTAATACATTAATAATATAGATATATAGAAGTATTTGTATATTTTGATGTATAATGTATATTCATGAATAAACTTGATGTACATTATATTTCTTGTTCATATTGATTAAAACACACTTACCATTTTTATTAGTCTATTACACTTTTAAAGTGACTTGATGTATGCTTGAGAAATAATAAATTAAATATATATCTATCTTATTGAATTAATATATATAATAGTGCTATGTTTTAATAAAATCACTTAAAATAATCTTAGATTGATACCCACAAAAGATTGGTTGTGAATTAGGATCCAAACTACACTCTTAATTATAAAACCATGCACCTACAGCAAATGAGATTTTGTTTTATTAATAAAAGAGTAAAGTTAGAGAACAAATTTGATAAGATTTTTTAAATCATTAGTTTTAAGGAATTTATATAAACAATGACTTTGTAAGAGCTTTGCCAATTTGAAATTATTTTAGGTGATTCTTTTGTGGAAAAAAAAATTATGTTTTAGTAAAAAATATACATTTTGTAACAAATTTTTATATAAAAATATCCAAATTTATGAAAATAATTGTATTAGATTTATATTATGTAATTAAAATTAATCAAATGATTTAATAAAAATATTTTGAAATTTAAGTGAGTTGGAATCTTGAAAATTGGACTTTGAAGGTTGTTAAAGGAAAATGGCTAATATTTGAGAAAATTAGGAATATTTTCTTTTTATTTTTAATTTTATTTTTTTTCAAAAAAATTATATTTTTTTTCAATAAGTAGATTAAAAGGTGTAAAAAAATAAAATCAAGATTAGATACTAAAAAAATAATTATCAATGTTTAAATTTTATTATAAAATTTATTTAAAATTTAATTAAGAGTTATTAGAATTTGCATATGGTTTGGTTAGAATATGATTAATATTTTAAAATTTTTCTTAAAATTTGGTAAAAATTTGATAAGATTTTTTAAGGAATTATCAAGATTTTGATTAAAATTTAATTAGAGATTATTTAGAATTAATTTAAGATACTTTTAGAATTGATTAGAATTCA